CTGAAAGGTACTGTATGTTGTACAGACTTCAGTACAGATCTAAAAGCGTGAAATAATGGTGCTCAGAAGATAAGCTGAATCGCTTTGGCGGGAGGGGAAGTTCCATGATGAAGCTCGAAGTTCTGCAAACCCAGAGATCGACATATGGCAAAGTCAAAGACAGGGCAGCGCAGAATCAAAGGCTATAAATATAGGACATGTCATAGGGTCACTGAAAGGAATCAAATGCAACTAACTACCTTACAGGTAAGAAACCAAGCACTCCAAATTATAGTTGGATCCAGTTGGAAGGAGCAATGTCAGCCCCACCGAGAAATCAGAAACTTCCGTAACTCGAACCTTTCTACTACAGTCTTGTTCACTGCGGATGATGGGACGAGTTAAGCGCGATGGGTTTGGCACTGCGCCAGCCCGTTTCTTTTCTTTTTTCTTTCGGTAAGCGACAAGCCGGTATCATATTGTTCGTATCAGCCACCAACTGCTGCCCCTTACCCGCTTCAACAACTGCTGGAGAACGGGCTGGCGCCGCGCCAAACCCAGCCTCAACGACACGCCCATCATCCGCAGCGCTTTCCAATTAATAGATCGTACTGATGCCATGCTTTTCACTACAATAGAACCCAAGAGTTATGTGGGTCGGAAGGCCGTCCAAACAGTGAATGCTCACTATTTCTCGCTTTGAGAAGGCAAGGAAGGAAAATGGAAAGAGACCAAATGAATTTACTTACCTCGTTACTACTGCATTGAGCACTGGCTGGGTCTCGGATACAGAAGCCATACATAGCGGTGTATCTGCAGCAGAATATTAAGTTCAGCATCTACTGATTTTATTTATCAGGCAATCCAAAAAAGTTCGTGCGGTTTTGAAGGTAGCGAAATAATAACATAAAAAACGGGTTAAACTTAGATTTATTCCGAAAAATAATTACCCTCAGCAAGTAATACACTTTCCCATTTAGACACAAGAGCATATATTCCATTTTTGTAAAAATCTTGCTTTTGGGAATTGAAGAAATGTTTTAGTTCGTTGTCCAAAGCCACTTCATTTTCAAATCGCCGATTCCTCATGTGGTTGTCCAAGGCCAAAAACAATGATAGTCACTTGGAGCAAGGTCTGGCGAGTACGGAGGGTGAGGTAGAATTCCCCGCCTGTCGCGCTACATTGTTCTGACGTGATCCGCAAGTTGGTCTTACATTGTCCTGATGGAGAACCACACCTTTTCTGTTCGCCTTAATTATCTGAATTAACAAGTACACTGAATGACACTCCATCACATATGTCTTAAATATATACGAATGTTATCCTACCGGAGGGTGAGGTAGAATTTCCCATCCTAGTCGCGCTATTGTTTCCTGAGTGATTCTTGCAGTGTGTGGTCTTGCATTGTCCTGGTGGAAAACCACACCTTTTCTGTTCGCCTTAATTGAAAGTAATCTAAATTAACAAATACACTGAATCACTCCTTGACATATGTCTTAACATGTATTCAAAGTTACCCTACCACTAGATCCAGTTTACTGAATATACTTCATAAAAGTAGACAAAAAAAACCGCACGAACTTTATTGGTTGCCTGATATTTATTTATTTAAGCTAAAAAAAATCACCACGTTAACCTATAATTTTGAAGAATGCGGAGTTATATGGATTTTTTATAGATTTCTCAGTCATTGTCCCTAGAAACGATAGGGCTATATCTGGGCATGGATTGGAGCGCTGGCAAGGACGCCTTCTTCACTAATGAGGTCATAATGAGTCCCTAACAATTGGCGGTAAAGGCTGTTCTGACTGTGATCCAACTCATGCCCCTTCACACGCCCTATCGTTTGCAGGGATAATGACTATATACTTACCCCGATGGACACTGACAGATGGAGTTCTGACACGTAGATCCACCTATGCACTGGGCGTCCGCTGAACAGGGTCCACTGACGATCGAGTAGGTCACACACTGACCGTTAATCATAGTCTGGAAGAAAAACGGGTATATGAAGTCGCACCAAATAAAACATGGCGTTAATAACCTGGGGGGGGCACCTGTAAGCGCTTGTCAGCACAGCAAATCCTTCAAACTCCCATAGGGGTCATCAAAACACTGTAATCAAACCTGAGTTTCTCGGCATGGGCCTCCCGTATACCTGATACAATAGCCATTCACCAAGTTGCTGAAAAAGACTTTTGTTAAGAGCCATCAGACATTGGCGCAGTTGGCTTCGTGGGGGCACCCACTGGCACTCGGCTAAACTTGTACAAGTCATCTTGCGAAAAACTCGCAAAGTTCTGCCTGACCTAAAAACAGCCCTCGCGCATCAAAGCTGCGCTCATGTCGCCTTTGCTGTGCAAGTAGTCTAGCCTCCAAGCTAGAAGACTGTTCACCTTTCGCGACTCTATTGTGAGCGTGGAGGCTGCTATAGCCGCTCAAAGTGCTAGTTCTAACTCCTCCTCAGTCGGACCGCCTTTACTTGCTAGATGTCCTTCGACGGAGGCCACTCACTTGTTCTTAGTTGGGGCGGCGGGCATTGCTAATGCCCCTGGATAATTCTGCTCTCCTTCATTACAGTTTACTCATTGGAGGTATATACATTCAATTCAACCCATTTCGCGAGGTGAAACGCGTAAAAAACACGAGTGACGCAATTTTCGTGATGCAAAACCACGACGCACAAAAGGTGCGCTACCGTAATCACAAATTCAGACACCGTGTTGATAAAATTCCTTTTCCTTCCCAGAGTTTTTCCTCTGCGTTTTTGTTGTTTTCTTTTTGTATTCTTTCTTTTGCACTGGATGATATCAACTACTGCGAGATGTGATAGAGAGACTTGTGAGCTAGGGGCTGCACAGAGACCGCAGGGAGGTGTAACTGTGAGGGAGCGATTTTGTTTATGTTGTTCTGGAGAACGCTTCTTGCCTGTTTTCTTCTTTGGGAGATTACTTATCAGCTGCTGTTTCATAATTGGAAAGCAGCTATCCATGAGACTTTTATCGCGGGAGCTGTCTTTAAGGGCTCATCGGATTGCCACATTTTCACTAGCAATTCACATGGTCTGGCAAATTACACTTGTTAGCAAGATCTGACGAGGAAAGATTTTGAACGTTAACATGCAACCAAACAGAGGGAAACTAGCAGATGGACCCTCCAAGCCAGAATTGTGCCACAGTTCTTCATACTCATGAATCTTCCGGATACAACTTCACTTATCCTTGGTTACAGGTACAGGTACTTCCAATGCATTGAGAATTGTCGATACACTGCTCATTAATGAAACATCTCATTCCTGGAGAAGCCAGGGATTCACATACTCCATTCACCATCACCTGAACGTCCCTTCTTTCGACTGAATACTCATCCAACTCAATTTATTGACTTAAGAAACACTCAGCGATCCCTCAGAAGTATATAGGTTCTCCAAAGGGTGAGGAGCAAGCGCAGACCTATCGAAACACCTTGTACAGCGTTTCACGTCAGAAAGACCCTAATTAGGGGCAGCAAATTTCCTTAGGTGGACTCCGCCCACAGTTTGTAGATGGATCGCTGCTCTTGTCGTCTGTTTCGCCAAAATCACACGCCCTCTTTATCTCTCGCTTGGGACAAGCAGGGTTTTATTTGAACGCTGAGCATACGGGTAGCCCCGTGATTGCACTCCCACTATACTGATTCTTCCTTTCTCATGTCTTACTACTACTCGTTAATACCCTTCCTATGCTCCCTAAGGCCCTGGTAAAAAAACACAAGTTAGCTCTTGGAGGTAACTGGAAGCTCTAAGTGACCTACATATCCACGCGTATATTGAGAGACGGTGGCTGACTCCACTTGGACATGGCGTGGGATGTGTTCTTTGTGGGTTTTATTTGAGACCATTGCCATTTGTTTTCTGCTGGGAAATGACACCGTGATAATTGTCCAAAAACGGCTACAAATAACGAAAAGCGTACCCATCGCCGCGCTCGAATGAATGATGCAGCCACGCCCTCCTCATCTCTGGGATGAAGGGCATTTGTTCAGACAGGTCAAGGCGTTTGGCGCTGATTCAGGCCCTTCTGGAATGTATCGCTCTGCATTATACACCGTTCTATATCCGATCTGACTCCTCCAATAACTTCAGTGGGGAGCTGTACTGTCAGAGTATTACCAGTTGTTGTCGCCTGCACTCTTCAACAATTGGTGGAGAACGGGTTGGCGCCGCGCCAAACCCAGCCCCCTGACACGCCCCAGCATCCACAGCGAATAAGACCGTAGTTATATTACCACCATATGACTGTTTCCTATTCCTCTCCGTTTTTGAACTTTTTGATGAAACTTACCATGCCTAATTCGCAACCATTGCCATATGGCTTGCATTCCCCGTTGATATTGCTGGTCCCATATGGACATTCACAACGGTAGTTCTGAAAATAGCTAATTATTCAGCCGTTGAAGGCCATTCATTTTGTATTAAATAAGGATTTTGGAAAAATGGGTACTTTCAAAGTATCCAGACCCGTACCGTACATGCTGAACCGCCAAGACACTGCTCCGTCTGCTGACACATTCCACCGATGGGAACGGTACTCATGCATTGACCGTTGATGTACACCTGTCCGTTCATGCACTGGTTGGACGAGCATGCGGCTGAATGGAACGTACACATATTTGGGCACATATACTCAAAATCCCTGAGATGGGGTAGGCGTGGCTGCGAACTTGGACTGTACGAGGTGGCAGCTAAGTTGTTCGTGGGATATTTTGATTTTGGCACAGTTGTAATAATGTCTTTGTCAACACAGAACAAATGACAGTTTTCTCGAATTGGTGTATCCCATGAGTAACCCACCCTATACCATGTTCAAATGCCACGCCTACTCCGTTCTAGGGATAAGGAGTTTATATGTAGTAGATATCGTCGCAATCAGTCGAGGCGAAGTCAGGAGAGGTGCAATGAGTCACTCCCCTCTTGGCTGAATTTTCTTCCAACATTGATTAATTGTGAGTAATTTAGGAAGAAAAACTAGTAGTGATAACGCGTGTGGGTTCTTCCCACGCCTCTTGACCCCGCCCCGACCAACTGCGGCGACATTAACCCCGCTATTGAATCATACGATTTGAAGAGCTTGCGCAGCAAATTCCTTGCATGCAGTTGAATCCACTGAGGCAGCTACTCAATGACTGGCACTGGACATTCTGACCGGTGGCTGAGATAAGTGGCGATGACGTTCCACATTCTGAAAATATCAATCTTTTTCAACTACCGTAACCTTTTTATGATTGCGGGAGAGAAGTACGGCCGTTATCACGGGAAGTGAGTTGGCGCCGTATCAAGAGGGACGGGAAGTTTTGGGAGCCGAGCACCCCGTTTTTCATGGATCGCTGTGTTGGGTGTTCAATGAGAGGTGAGCAAAAGACGGGGCCGCGCGAGAACCCACGCGCCGTTGACACACCCCGACTGACTTTAGTGATAATGACTGTATGAATGATGAACCACATTTGTTGAGTTCTGAGAAAGGGTCATTCTCATGAAGGGACACGATACTGGCTACTCTTCCGCAATTTCCCCAAGATCGAAGCCTTCCTAACAACTAAGAGTTGTAGTAATAAAAAGAAGGTCGGAATGAAACATGAGAACAAGAACATCGCTCCCATTTTTCCAGCCCAGCTCTCTCCTCCGAGTTACCCCCAGTTCATTTTCCCACTACCTTTCCCGCTCCACAAAAAGTTTGTTCGCTGCGGATGCCGGGACGCATCAGCCGGATTTGGCGCCGCGCCAGCCCGTTTTCCAACAATTGTTGCCGCTTACCCTCTAGAACAACTGGTCGAAAACGTGCTGGCACCGCGCCAAACCCTGTGTCCTGACAGGCTCCAGCATGCGCAGCGAACAAAACTGTGCTATCTTTATGACCTCCTCTGTCACCTCACAGAATTTGCTTGACTCATAAGGGGTGTGTCAATGATCTTCATTATGGTAGTAGTGAATCAATGATAGGTCCAAAAAAATGTAATGGAAAAGCTCAGCTGAGACTGTTTCCCATTTTCCACTCGATGCTATGTATAAAAAAAGTTATAGTACAGAAAACAGCCACATGCTATACAAGAAGGGGTCAAGGAAGAACCTACGCTGTGCTTGTCCTGCGCAGCAAATGTACCGCATGTGTTGCAGTGAGTACTGACAAGTTGCTCCAGGACGTAACTGTTGACAACTGCAGATGTCTTGAGGAGAGCACGCCGCTGGCTGACCATTTGATTGCAATACATTTAGTCCAATTGGACATTGTGCAGCAACAACTGAAATTCACAGAAATCACAGGGGATCAGGAGAGAAGAAGTCTTCACCCAAGATGTCGGTGCTCTGATCTGAGAGCCTCTCTGGAGCACTACCTTTGAATGAAGGAACTTTTCAAGCTCCGGTCTGTCTCCGAGAAGGAACTTACTGTGAATACTTTCCCCTGGCTTTGGATCGAAATCATAGTAAGTTAGCTCCTGTAGTCAAACGGTACAACTCTTCAACTCATATCGAAAGGTTGCAGGAAATGCCCCATGCATTCATCGAGGTCATGCAGTGAAAAGGATCTCGGGTTCCTTTTATTCACAAGCAAGTGGATTACCCTCCCTGACAAGTCTGAGGCCAAGCTAACCCTGAACGAACGTAGCATTGAGGTAGCCTGGATGCGAACTGATATGTGATACTGATCATCTGCCCGGACCATGTGTGTAGCCCCACTTGCCGCTATCCCAGCAGCGCCCGCAGTGAGAATTATTACCTTTAGGAATGATAGTATTGGTAACCCTGCCCGTTCAAAGTAAATCCCGGAAAGAAGACTCACCCGCAAAATTGACAACCAATAGTAGGAAATTCATGGTGATTGTGACTGAATTTGCGGAAAGATTTGCTTTAACGGTTTGCGCCCTGCTATGTTGATTCAGCTGGTTCCGTGGAAAATCCACGGAAAAACTTGACGATTCCATACGAAACATTTGAAAAGCTGTTGGCTTCGCACGTAATTTCAATGATTAGTGTTGGTGGCTTCACACGTGATTCCAGTGACTAGTGCTGTATGAGCGCAGCTTTCAGATGAGATTGGCGAAAGCTTTGAGGAAACGCGAAACTTCGTGAAGTATGTCTTACAGTATCGCGGAAACTCTCCTTCTATTCTTCTTCATACAGACAGTAAACAGTTTTGGCGCCAATGCTACACATCTCAGAGGGGAGGTAACTGCTAGAGACCCTCGTGCAGCCAAGGTCAATGGCTGCGTTCAACGTTGCGACCAGATTGTGTTCCATTGCTAGTCGTTGGAGCCATGTAACTGCTGATACGGTCACATACAGGAAGTTGTCTCGTTCAATTCATTTTTATCCCATTCGAGGACTCTTTGGCCGTCCCAAGCTGCTCGTTAAATGAAATGTGGAGGGCTACAGTCACGCATTTTCGGAATCCGCACGTGTCGCAAAGTAAGGACTTCTGCCTTAGGCTAACAGCTCAGACCGCCACGGTCGCCGCGGGTTACTCTTTGCAGAACAAGCAGCCCACGCTCGAAGCCTAATCCTTGGTTGGAAAGGTAGGCAAGACACCTCTGCAGTTGCCCGAACATTAGTGCCCCATCTGGTGGCCCTGCGGTTCTCACGAACTATGGTTCATCGGGTACCAAAGGGGTATTTTAGTTTGAGACGGACAATGTTATCTTGTATGGCGGTTGGCCAAAAAACACACTCTGGCAACATGCATGCAAACGAAATAATCTCTCCAAAACGCAGGCGTCTCACGGACTATTTAGCTATAAGCCTCAAAAAGTTTCTTCTGTTTATTTTCTTTTTTTGTTGTTCCATACTTCGACTGTGTAAACTAATAAATACTTTGGAAGTTGGTAACCAATTTAGGCAATGGGAATTTTTCAGCTACCTTTATTAATTGAAACATCCTATCTATTCTATAAAAGCACTAAACTTTGTGTGTAGGTTTGTCGGTCTGTATGTATGTAAGTATGTAAGTATGTAAGTATGTAAGTATGTATGTTTGTCCGTCCGCAAAATGCTTCACGGGTTCGAGTTCGCTGGAGGCGAAAACGACCGCTAGGCAAACAGGCAAATCGGTGCGGAAGTATCAATCCAATGTTTTGATCGTGATATCGGCCTCCGCTATATAAGACAACCATTCGGTACACTCCGAGCCATTGCACGAGCTGCTGGCGTGGCAGCTGGACGTGTGCTCGTGCGGGGCAGGGCAGGGTGGGGGCGAGAGGAGGGGGGGGGGGGCACTGGGCTATCCCCCTCCTCTGTTCCTTCCCCTGCGCGTGCTGCAGCCCGATCTGAGCATGCGCAAGAGAAGGAAGCAGAGGGACGGTCCGACTGGAACACTGGGGCGTTTTTTCAAGGTATGATATAGGTTATGGCACAGGAATATGTGGGTGACAAGAACTGCTAGCCGCTGATAAAGGGAGTTAGAGTGGAAAGGACAACATACTCATAACGCGGTACACAGCATCAGTTAGGCGTTGATTTCAGCAAATGATATCAAGGGGAAGGTGGAGAATGCGACGGCGGGTGGCAAGAAATGATAACAGCTGATAGGGCCTGATAGAGAACGATGCAGTTGTTGTTCAATCTAACGCTGGAGCCTCCACACTACGAAATTATGAAGTTTTAGGATAGCGACATTGATGACGAGTGACAAGCAATTTCATCAATTGATAAGTAAAGAATAAGGGGGAACATTTACTGGGATAGTCTCTGACCACTACACTGCCAAAAAAACCTCTCAGTAAGCGAAATTTTCCCACAGCCATCACTCCTCTGATAGCACTAGAAAATGTACTCATCCCACTAGGGGGGTATATACTTCGCCTGAAACAGGAAGTTTGGAGAAATCAAAAACTCCAATATTGGAACACACTTTATGCGTTCAGTGAGTATTTAAATATTTTTTTGCTTTCTCAACGTTATATCACTGATGAGAACGAATAACGAAGTAGTTTGTAAGATTCAATGAACGCTGCCTAAATATTGTCATCTGCAGCCATTCATGCAACCTTAGCAGGTGGATTGCATGTTAATGACAAGTTAATCGCCCATCGTTGGTGTTGTGATGCATGTAATAAAAACGGAATGTGTTCATCTACTGTGCAACATATATTGATATTCTGTACTTTCTATCTATTTCTGAGATCTACGTATAGAATGGGCGTTATGGCCAAAACCAGCACGCCTTCCGCAACTCTGAGGGGTGCAGATTTCGCTAGGTTACTCTGTCTATTATGATTCGACCACTACCGCGCAATATGAGCAGCTCAGGCAATTAACTAATTCCATTCCCGTGGCGCCTGGCGAAGCCGAGCTGAAAACGCAAGGAGGGAGCAAAGCTCGGCGTCACCGCGGCCGATCCGACTGGTGGAAATAAAAATGAAAACAAATAGAAGCATCACCTAAAAATGAAGGTCGCCCTTATCCCCGACCTCAGAAGAACAGTGAAACCCCTTTCCTATACATATTCGAGATCGCCTTAAGTACAGAAAGTCGTAAGTTTTTAGTAAGTAGCCATGATTGAGAGAAAAAAGGTCTCACAAATCGGATTTCCCCATTTATCAAAACCAGCGGCTAAGTAATAGCGTTGGGTCCCAGGCAAACCTAGCCTTCACCCCCCCACCCGCCTTCGGAACGGTAAAACTTGGCTACAGCGTATGGTACTGGAGGATAAGGAAGCACCGACTTGTTACATTGGCTGCCCCCAGGCCTATAATAATCCACATCACATTCATTGGCCCTGTGCACTTTTTCTCAGGGAAACCACCAGTGCTTCTTATCTCAAAAAAATTGAGAAAAAGAAAAAGTAGTGTTAGAAGAAAAAAGAAAAAGTGTTAGAAAAAAGTTCAGTCTCCTCCAGGCAATGCAGCTCACCTAGCACGTGGTGGGATGGTTAGGAGCAGGAGTCGCTCGAGAGGTTTATCAGCGACTGCCACATATCTGTTCTTCCCAGCTGGGTTTATTTAGACACAATAGAAGCCACCGTGATTCTTTACGGGAGTCGAATGCATAGCTCATTCTAAAAACGGATCTGCCACTGGTATGCGCACCGGAGGAGCTCCATTTCAAAGCGTTTTGAACCGCTGTACTTCCAGTAGATTGGCATCGGTCAGACTGCACGTTTTTGCTGTGAATCTGAAACGGGAAATTCTGTAAAAATATCAAATCAGTTACAACCTTTCTTCTTTGCTAATGTAGAACAAATTCTTACAATAATAGGCTGTTAACAGTTCCCTTTCTGAACTGATGTGGTGTAGTTGAGATAACTTCGCAGTAAAGGGCAGAGGTGGTGCTATGGCTTATTCATCAGCCCGGTGAGGGATGAAATCTCGGATTGGCTCGCGCGCACCAGTCAGGTCCTCCATCCCTGAATCCTGTGAGTTAGTTACAGACGTGTCTGGGAGGGTAAAAAGACTGACTAGCTCCCTCACTGACAAGCGCAAAAGGATGATGTAGCATCTCGACCACTTCCCTGAAAAAAGCTCCCCCCTCCCCGTGAAACATCCGTTAGTAAAGATCTACGAATAATAGTCGTCATAGTATGAGCCAAGATCAACTAATCTACGTTCTGTTAGGTTGTCCGGAAAGTTCTCAGCGTTTTTGGTGTTTCACTTTAAACGATCGTAACTTTTTTAATACTCATCGGATTTAATCGAAATAGGCACCATTCGAATCAGCACACTTTTGCCAATGTGATAGCAGTCGAGAAATCCCATCAAAGTAAAAAATTGGGTGGTCGAAAATTCACGAAATCCACTAAGGCTTTTTTGCCTGGTCCTGATTGATGAAGTATTTTCCAGCAAGGGAGTTCTGAAAATGTTAGAAAAGGTGATAGTCGATTAGCGAAAGGTCTGAGAATATATGGCGGTTGAGGTAGAACTTCAACCCCCAATTCGTTCAATTTATGGATAGTGATTTGTGAAACGTGTGGGCGGGCGTTGTCATGCAAAAGAATCGGACCCTTTCTTTTGATAAGTGTTGGCTGCATCTGACAAAATTTTCGGTACATTTCGTCGATTTCTTCACAGTAGGGTTCTGCTGTGATGGTTTGGCCTGGTGATAAAAAGTTATAGTGGATCACACCAGCCGATGACCACCAAACCGTGACCAGAATCTTTTTTTCGTGAGGGTTCGGCTTTGAAAATTACCTCGGTGGTTCGTCGAAATCCAACCACTGTCCGGAACGTCTCCTGTTATCATACATGACCCATTTTTCATCACAGGTGACAATTCGGTCCAAAAACAGGTCGTTTCTGCTGCGCAAAAGCAATGCAGAAGGAACCTCGAGACGTGCCGATTCCTGCCGGTCACTCCGATTGTGGGGCACCCAATTGTCGAGTTTTTTCACCTTCCCAATGCGTTCCAGGACCAATCTGCCAACATGTGGATTTGCCAAGGCCTAGCTCTTCTGCTATCTTGGGATGGGTCAGCCTCCAAAATCCCCCTAAAATCCTCGTCAGATATTGCTTTAGGTCGACCGCTATGAGGTTCATCTTCAAGGCTGAAATCTCCAGAACGAAATTTGTTGAGCCATTGCCGCACAGTGCTTTCTCTAGCACTATTGGGCCCCCACACCTGGTTAATTTGTTGAGCTGTTTCGATTGCGGATTGCCCCAATTTATAGTCGAAGAAAAAAATCGTCCGAAGTGCTCTTTTCACATGCTTGAAAAAATCTTGAAAAAAGGGGGTTCAAGGTGAAACGGCAATTATACCATCAGATAGCGCAAGAAATTCTCTACAGGATGTGCTACTGAGAAGCAAGGCAGAATGAGTTTTTAATCAGCAGTGAATGTACAAAAAATAGGTGCACAAAACGCTGAGAACTTTCCGGACAACCTAATATATTGTACATCAGGTTGGTCTAGCAGGTCATCGTATAGACCCAGTCACATTCGAAACTAAGATTCTGAACAGAAGTAGAGTGCATGGCTCACCCCACAACGGACTGGCCAACGCTACACCATCAACCATTTTATCCTTTAACACATTGGCGACAAGGCGCCTTTTCGCGTGTCTGCCGCGTGGGACAAAGCAGTTTTTCCCTATTTTCGAAGAATGCGCATAAATGCTAGGCGTTTATACGCCAAAAAAAACTGAAGAATTCATTGCAGAAGCTAGTAAGGCTTCGCTATTCTTGTTTACTTTCAAGATAAACCCTGAAATTTCATGGAATACTCCCGCCTCATTCACGTGGAGCGTGGGAACAAGGTCGCAAAAAAGGAATATTTTCGCGCCAGAGGTGGTAAATTGGATTCGATTCAGATCTGCTATTGTTGAAAGTTACCTTATCACATTAGCTATCTGCATGTGGAGCTTCAGTTCTATATATCCAAGAATTATCTTTTTTTTCCTAGGAAATCACTTTCGTTTGTCTCCTCGGTAAAATACTCTCAATGACACAACTGCACGGTTTACAGCTACTGTATATTCTACAATGCCTTCATGGACAATATGCAGCTGTTGAAAATTCGAAACGTCTTCAAATTGGTTTTTTACCCATGCCGCATCCCAGCAGTGGGACGCAATGTCCCACGCGGCAAAAAAGGTGCGTCCCAGCAGTGGGACGCAATGTCGCCAACGTGTTAAGCGAATTAATTTTGCTCTTTGAGCGTCCATGTCGACCTTCCATAAACTTTGGCATTCGGTGAGCTTTGGCGTTCTTTGAGGACGTTGGTTTTTTTGCATGCCTAAAAAATCCCCCATGCAGTCCAGGATAATTGATGGCAACTTTGCATGTTGCATTAGGTCCAGCATTACACGTTCACATTACCTGAGAGTTCATCACTTACGCTCCCTCACCGCTCTCTTCTGGAAGTCAATTTGGCCCGAAAAATCTTTCGTGGATGTCAACTCGTGCCGAAATGGGAATCGATGCGGCATGGATTTCGAAACATGGCCGTATAACTTCGTATAATGTTCATCACTCAACCGCCTCCTAGCTTACTAGTAAACAGCTGGTCAAAGAATCCTTCTGACCTCTATTCTCTGATATTTTGTGGAATATGAATAGCCCCTATAACTACTGAATGAGGTCTTTAAACTAACCTCATATTCGACCTAATAGTAAGCGTTCTACCACTACACAAGCCGAGCTTTCATGGCTCTGCAATAAAGCTCAGAAAAACAACCGTAAATCTCTCCCGATTGGTATGGAATCCCGAACTGCATATGGTTTTTATTAAATTCTTCTCTGGGGCTAAGATACCACTCACGTCATTTTCATGTCTGCTCGCAGAGAGAATTTCTCAGGTCGCAGTATGTCCTCTCACTCTTCGAAGACTAAACGGCATATACAGGGAGGGGGGGGGGCAAAAAAAAGTCATTTTGCCTCCATGACTTTCAAGGCGCTATAAGTTACACTTTATTAAATTTTTATCGGACATTTTTACTACCATATTAAAGAGCACATTAAATACTATAACGATACTCCGCCACAGCCTTCTGGAGGAGCGCCATCGAGAGATTCGGCCGCGCGAAAGTGAGTGGGTACCGGAGTTGAGCGAGATCGTTGATTTCTCCGCCACTGTAGACCACTTGTTGAGCTCCGCCCGAACTAGGTAATTGAATGGGTTCAGGTCAGGGGACATACTTCAATATTACATCTTCTTCAGGTACGAAACGCCCTTCCATTCGAAGTAGGCGGGAGTTTTTCCAAAACCCTTCGATTCCATGTGGTGGCACCCAAACCTGTAGCAGCACAAGGTCTCCAAGAAGGTACGGGCGACCACATGTAGGGAGGATATCCTTCTCGAGTTACTTGATGTAACCGCCAGCGCTCACCTTCAGTCGGGGTCTACAAAGAAAATATCGGTCTTCCCATTCCAGGTACGGCCGGTCCACACCATCAACCCGCGCCTTGGTGAATGGGGTGAAGATGATGTCCTGGACCGTAGCGACGTTGCCGGAGCTGCTCGATGTTTGGGGTCTTGCAGATCAAGAGTACTTGTCTCCAGGTAGCTATCCATGGGTGATTCCATTCAAGAAGTTCCGCAGCTGTTTGGAGGCCACGTGAATTCCAAAGGCGTTCTCCACTCAGGCCGCGACTGGAGATGACTTCATATTTTGGTGTACATGAAGGTGAATGGCGGCAGCCGGCTCCTGCTTATAGAGGAAGATCTTGGGTATCTTCCGCCCTGGTACTCATATCCACTTCCTCTGTCTGGGCTGCGAAAACTTCGCTCATATGTGACTCGGCCGGAATGACTTTTTTGGGCCCCCCCCCCTGTACGTCACGGACCTATAAGATATGGGCAGAACTGAAAGTCCTGCGATATTTCGGAAATTTGGATTTGTACTTTCCTCTATGGAACGAAAGTCTTTGTCTGCAAGATGATTGCCAGTGTAAACCAGGACAAGCACCAACCGTTCGGGCATCTCCTCAATTCCAATCAACCACCAAAATCAACCATGAGAAACAGTTATCCTATCCACCAATTTTCTAAGATTTCCTTTCCCCACTTTTTCAGACAACTGAAGGGAAAAAAAGGGAGATTCCAGCACCCAAAAAATTTCTTTCGCTGCTCGGATGTAGGGCACATATTTAGGGGGGGGATGCAGGGCGGATATCCCAGCAGGGCGGGGTCGTATCTGGTCATAGAAAAATTTTTTTGCTAGTTAATTTTCCTTGTTTCTGGGACGTTGTAAACAGGTCGTATTTGCTCGTTGTTGGGGAGGGGGTGTCGCACTCCCCTGTGACCTCCTGGGAGAGGTTGCTGACTCATGGTGGTTTTTCCTATCTTGTTTCAGGTGAGCTATTTAGCCCTCCCCCTCTTCCTCTCCCTCGCTCGACAGCAAAATTTTTTGGGTAAAAGTAGGAATATTCTTGGAAGAAGTCCGGAGAAGCTGGGAGGAAGTTGGGCAAATCTAACAAAGGGAAAGAGTTGGTAGGATGAGAAAGGCGGGAGTGGCGATCGTACCAACCCCCTAAAAAAGGGTGGGGGTCGTACGGACTCGATCAACCTCAACCAATGATGTGCCCTGCTTGGAAGAGTTTTTGTCAAAAGCAGAAACGACCTCAAATAGACCAAGTACGACCCCTAGTCCATTCCACCCTACCCACCATCTTACTAAGTTTTCTCCCTTCCCTCTTTTTTTCCTCAAAAAAACTGCCGTTGAGCGAGGGTATACGAAGGCAAATACGACCCACCCCACTTCCAGAGATCAGA